GGCAGTATCTGGATGTTGAGAAGGCGAGATCAGATCTGGACCCTCCAGACCTGCAGGCTGGGACTTGGAAACCCAGATGGCAGAGAGGATAGGAAAGAAGGCAACTCAACCAACAGTTCAGATGTAAACAGTGGCTTATTCCTCCAGACTCTGGGCCAAGGTCAACCTGGTAAACCAAGTGATCATCATCTACGGAAGGCAAAATAAGAACAGTTCCCAAGATTCTTTGGTTGGGTCCATCACCATAACTCCTCCTTCATTGATGGAGTCTCTTCTGGAGAGTTGGAACACCCCCTCCCCCAGTGCTTCTAGAAACTTCTAGAAACCTTTGAGAGTAACTCACAGAAAGGCCCCTATCACTCTATAATAAAGCCTATCATTCCATGCATTCTGAAGCTTCAGTTAATTTTTGAATATAAGTAGTCCCTTCCAATCAAGACTATCAGATATTTAAGGAAGGCCCCAAAATGAGTCAGGTTGCAAAACAAATAGGAGGGAAGAAAAGAAACCTGGAGAAAGAGACAGTGAAGAAAGCAATAGAGACTTTAAACAAAAAAAAAAATCCGAAAATACCATCCTCAAAAAGATAAAAGAGGACATTTCACTCTGCAATAAAAATAGGAGTTTCTGAACAAGAAAAATTAGAGAAAAAGAAAGAGTATTTGGAAATGTACAATATGGTATAACTCTAATATATGAATATAATAGAACACATAGAAGATGATGTTGAAAAAAATCTCCAAGAAGGTAGGTTTAAAAGGCAAAGATGGAGAAATCAGGAAGGTGGGAGGGATAAAATGAGAAAATTGGAGGTCTATTCTAAGAATCCAACATCTGCTAATAGGAATTCCAGAAAACAGAACAAGGAAACAGAAGGGAAAAATCTGTATCTCTAGATTACATGGGCCAACCAAATAAATGCCCAGCCAAACAGACGAAAAAGACTCACACGGAGGACCATTATCATGACATCTCAGAACCTGAGAGAGAAAGAGATCCTACATGCTTCCAGATTGGGATGGGGATAGAAGGGAATCACACAGAAAGAATGAGAAAAAGAAGAATTGGATTTTAGAAATGTAACAATGGAGCCTGAGGAAAAATGATGTGGTCAATTGTGTTGTTCAGGTCTTGTTTACCTTTACGGATCTTCTGTCTATTTGTTCTGTCAAGTACCAGAAAAGAAGAAAGTTGAACTTTCCACTACAATCAGGAATGTGACTGTTCGTTCTTTCAGCTCTAACAGTTTTTGTTTCATGGAGGTTGGACGTCTGTTGTTAGGTGCATCGCCGTTGAGGATTGCTACATATTCTTGGAGAATCTACCCCTTCTCATGATGTAATACCTCTCTGAGTCCCTAATAACAGTCCTCTCTCTACAGTCCAGTTTATCTGTGTTAATAGGGCTACGGCTACGGTGCCTTCCTTTTACTTCCTGTTTACATGTTTTATCTTTGTCCATCTAAGACATTTAATGTGATTATTGATATGATACGATTGGGTTAAATCCTACCATCTCGCTAGCTGATCTTTTCCACCTGTTCTTTATTTCCTTTTTCCTCTTTTTCTGCCTTCTCTCCAGTAATTTGAACACTCTATGTGATTCCATTTTATCTCCGCTATAATTATTATGTGTACCTCCTTAAAAATTTTTTTTTAGTGATTGCCCTCGGATTTACATATATTTTTTTAAATTAATCAGAATCATCTCGAACTATCTATAGCACTTCACGTTTAGGATAATGGCCTTACCACCATATATTCTCAATTTCTTCCTCCCATTCTTTGTGCTATTATTGTCATACTTCTTTACTTTTACATTTACTTAAAACATGTAATACTTGACCACTGTTTTGCTTTAGGCAGTAGGTTATGTCTCAGAGTAATGAAAAATAAGGAAAAAAAGAATTTTATTTTACTTGATTCAATTTCTAGTTCTCGTTTGTGGGTGTAGATCTAGTTTTCAGTCTGATATATATATATATATATATATATATATATATATATTTTTTTTTTTTTTTTTTTTTTTTGGCCTAAGAACTTCCCTTTACTATTTCTTGTAGACTAGATATGCTGGCAGTGAGTTTCCTCAGTGTGTGTTTCTCTGAGAAAGTATTTATTTCTCCTTTTTTTCCCCCAAAGATATTCTTGCTGAGTATAGGATATTCTGGGTTGAAAGCTTTCTCTTTCAGCCCTTTAAAAATGTCACGCCATTGTCCTCCTATTTTCTTATGAGGAATCTGCTGTCAACTCTTACCTTTGTTCCTTTGTATGTAATGTTTCTCTCTAGCTGCCTTCAAGATTTTCTCTGTTTTTGTTTTCAGTAATCTGAATATGATATGCCTGTGTGTGTGTGTGTGTGTCACTTTGGTTTCGATCCATTTGGGTGTTCTCTGAGCTTCTTGAATCTGTGATTTAGTGTTAGTCATTAATTTTGGAAATTCTCAGGTAATATTTATTTATTGATATATTTCTTCTGCCCCATTCTCTCTACCTCTCTCTTTTCATTCTGGAATTCCAATTATGCATGTGTCAGAGTGTTTGATAGTGTCCCACTGTTCCTTGAATGTTCCGGTCCCCTTTCCCCTCCAGCCCCCAATACATATACTCTTCTTTTTTGTTTTTTCTTTTTTTTAAGGTTTTATTTATTTATTTGAGAGAGAGAGAGAGAGCATGAGCAGGGGGAGGGGCAGAGGGACAAGCAGACGCCCTGCTGAGTGTGGAGCCCAAGTGGGGCTTGATCCCAGGGCCCTGACATCATGACCTGAGCCAAAGTCAGACACCCAACAGACTGAGTCACCCAGGCACCCCTTTTCTTTTCTATTTGTATTTCAGTTTGGGGAATTTCTATTAACCTATTTTGAATCACACTCATTATTTTCTCAGTGGTGTTGAGTCTACTGATAAGCCAGTTACTACTGTACTTTTCCTTTCCAGGATTTCTGTCTGATTTTTTCTTATAGTTTATTATAGTTTTCATCTCTTTGTGAAATTAGTCATCCCATCTTGCATGTTGTCAACCTTTTCCATTAATCACATATTAATCAGAGTTATTTTAAATGTCCTGTCGGTTCCAACTTCTGTGTCATCTCTGAGTCTGGTTATGATTTGTCTCTTGGGAGTATGTTTCTTCTACTTCTTTGTATGCCTCATAATATTTTATTGGAAACTAGACATCTTGTGTAGGACAAAAAAACTGATGTCATCATTTTTATGCCTGGCAATTGGCATGTCTTTCCTTCAGGGAGACCTTTAGTATGGGGGTTTGGAGTAATGTCAGCAGACATGGGACTGGGCTTGAGATGAGCCGTGGCTGTGGTTACCTTCTGTGTGCCTCAAGCTGCAAATTCCTGTAGGGACACTTCGTGTTTAGGGTGAGGGTCGCTTTATCAGAGCAATGCCTCTTCCAGCCTGAGCTTTAGGTCTTCCCTTTGTGCCACACATCTCAGAGGGTCTGTTGGAACACTCTGTTGCTATCCTGTCTCTCTCACAGTATTCTGCTGTTACTTACTATTTAAAATGTGCTAATTTAGCAGTGGCAGGGGCATAGAGGGAGTGTATTCTCTATTTTCTTTGTTGGTCTGATTGAACCTCAGATGTAGGTGTGCACCATGCCCCTGAAATTAGGGGTGGAGGAGTGGCTTTCTCAGTTCTCCTGCCCCCCTTTCAGCAGTGGCTGTGCGCTCTGCACCATCCTGCCTCTCCCACAGTATGCTTTTCTTTTTTCCTTGTTCCCAGCTACAGTGAGTTTTCACCAATGGCGGGGGGAAGCATGGCTTGTCGCCCTCCCCCCGCCCCACCTCCTGCACTCATGCGCACACACACACCACCCCCCCACCCCTGCACACAGATCAAGGCTTGTATTCTGTCTAAAAGATTGAGGGGGCAGCGCCTGGGTGGCTCAGTTGGTTACGATCTGACACTTGATTTCAGCTCAGGTCGTGATCTCAAGGTTGTGAGATCCAGCCCTGCATGGAGACCCCCATCTGGCCCCACAGTGAGCCTGGGGCAAGCCCTGTGTCGGGCTTGTGCTGGGCGTGGAGACTGCTTAAGATTCTTTCCCTCTCCCTCTGCCTCTTCCCTGCCCCCACCTCTCTAAAAAAAACAAAGAAAGAAAGAGAGAGAGAGAGGAAGGAAGGAAGGAAGGAAGGAAGGAAGGAAGAAAGGAAGGAAGGGAGGATGGATCCAGGAAGAAAGAAAAGAAAGATCGAGGGGGAGAGAATCTACGAAAAGTTTTTTGCCTCTCCCACAAGGGCTGTTGTAAAGGACGTTACTGAGTTAATGGAGAGAGTGGTGGTATGTACTATAGATGAGATAAAAGTGCCAATGTGAAATATCCTGAAGTTGATGACGGTAGTAGAGTTTTGTAAGAAAATAACCTTATTCTTAGGAAATCTACGCCAAAGTATTAGTAGGTTAAGGGGCATGGGGCATGAAGCCTACTCTCAAATGACTCAGGATAGATAGAGAATAATCAAGCAGATGTGGCAACATGTTAAAAATGGGTGAATTCAAGTATAAAAGAGTTTTCTGCATCATAAAACTGCAACTATTCCGGGCGCCTGGGTGGCTCAGTTGGTTAAGCGACTGCCTTTGGCTCAGGTCATGATCCTGGAGTCCCGGGATCGAGTCCCGCATCGGGCTCCCTGCTCGGCGGGGAGTCTGCTTCTCCCTCTGACCCTCCTCCCTCTCATGCTCTCTGTCTCTCATTTTCTCTCTCAAATGAATAAATAAAATCTTGGAAAAAAAAAAAAACCTGCAACTATTCTGAAAATTTGAAGGCATGGCAAAATTAAAAGTTTTTTTAGAAGAATCAGTTTGTTCCACTCAGGATGTAGGGAGAGCTCATCCTTAACACACACACACACAAAGGCCGACTAACTTCAAACTCACAATGTTTTTGAAGCCATTGGAAAGCTGCAGTTGCACAACCACTCAGCAGCCCAACATCTAAGGAGCCTCAAGCACCTTCAGGCGAGGGAGGTTCAGCCATTCCCTTACCTGCGGTGCATGTAACACCTGTAGGAAGAACTTGGCTGCAACCGTTGATGGACTGATGAAGGGCCAAGTGTGAGTTGATGGGACAGTGTTGAAGCTCCTGGCTGGTGTTCAGCTGATCCTTTCATTCAGGCTCTCAAGAAGGAAAAAACAGAGTTAAACCCCAACGAATTTTCTAGAACTCTGGGGTTAGAAATAGCAGATGCAGTCCCTCCACTGCAGGGAAGGAGGGCACTGTCATTAGAACCAGGAGATGGAAGGGGTGCAGTGTGGAGAGAGCTCCTGATGGGAAATGAGATTTTCTGTCTGGGGATGGAGGCAGAGGAGGCGACCCATAGAAAGGGAGCTTGGGGGGCAGGGTGGGGGAATGCCCAGAATTCATTCTCTTCCTTCCTCCCACTAATCTCCTGCTGGCCTCTCCCCAGTGGCTGAACCCAGAGAGCCAGGGAGCCGGTTGACACAGGCTGCCTCCTGGGGCGTGCAGGACGCAGGGGGGTGGGGGTGGGGATGCAGTCTGGACAGACAGAAGCTGTCTATTGTACCTGCCAAACTGGCAGGTGGTAGCCGAAAAGCACAGAAATTAGACGTTTGGAGTCCTCAGTGCTTCTTATTAATCACATGCCTTTGGGCAAACTCCTTTCTCTCTCTGATCCTGTTTGTGCATTTATAAATACTAAGAGCCCTGCCTTCCTGCAGGATGGTTGTGGGTTTTAAATAAGATAAAGTGTGTATGTGAAGTGCTTGGCTCCCAGTTAGTTTTCAATAACTTAAAACTTAAAAATTTTTTTTATAGTGATCATTGTTCTAAGTATAATTGTTAGCAAATGAAAATCTTAGTCTCTCCCTGTGGAGATGTCCAAGAGATCAGGAAATTCTACAATGTCAATGAATGAAGAAGTTAAAATGGGAGAGACTGGTGGAGTGTTATCAGGAATATTCACATGCCCCTACCTTTCAACCCGGTAAATTCCACTCAGGTATTTATCATGAGGAAATATCATTTGAAAAGTAAATCCTGAGATGGTCCATAATCTTTTTTTTTAAAGATTTTATTTATTTATTTGACAGAGAGAGAGATAGCGAGAGAGAGAACACAAGCAGGGGGAAGGGGAGAGGGAGAAGCAGGCCTCCCGCGGAGCAGGGAGCCTGATGTGGGGCTCGATCCCAGGACCCTGGGATCATGACCTGAGCTGAAGGCAGACGCTTAACGACTGAGCCACCCAGGCGCCCCGATGGTCCATAATCTTGGCTCTCCAGGCAGAGAGATCTAGATGGGAATTCCAGTTCTGTCACTAGTCATATGACTTTGGGTAAGTTACCAGCTTCTCTCAGCCTTTCCTTATCCTTCTATAAAAGGGGCATGAAAATAGTACCTGCTGGATAATTCTTGTAAGAATGTATGTAAAAACTTAAGACAGAGCCTGGCCCGCGTAAAACAATAAGCATTAGCACTTTTACTTACAGTAGTGGAAAATAGGATGCCCTAAATATTTCAAAATAGGAAAATGGTCAATTTATGGAATGAAATAGTATGCAACCATTAAAAATGATGTTTTAGGAAAATTATCTTCACGGCCTGTTGTAGGCAAAGATATTTACTTATTTATTTGAGAGAGAGAGAGAAAACTCGAGGGGGGAGGGGCAGAGAGAGAATCTCAAGTAGGCTCCATGCCCAGTGCAAAGCCCGACATGGGGCTCGATCTCACAACCCTGAGATCTTGACCTGAGCCGAAATCAAGAGTTGGAGGCTTAACTGACTGAGTCACCCAGGCGCCTGTAGGCAAAGATTTTTTTAAACGGGATACAAAGAGCTCTCAATATCTAAATGGAGAGGGTACTCCATGTCTTTAGCCACCAGGGAAGTGCAAATTAAAATCACAATGAGAAACTGTGACATACTCAGGAGAATGACTAAAATTAGAAAGACTGACAATGTGAAAGCAGAAAAAATTGACTGACAATGTCAAGTGTTGGTGAGAATGGGAATAATGAACTTTCTTCTGGTGCTGGTGGAACCGTAATCAGTATATCACTTTACAAAATGGTTTGGTGATCTCTACCAAAGCTAAACGCACATTTATCATATGACATAGCAATTCTACTTCTGGATGTATGCCCAAGAGAAATGGGCACTTTCTGTCCACAAAGAGACAGGTACAAGAATGTATAATACAGGTACTCTTAATAGCCCTATATTGGAAGAAAATGCTGATGTGCTTTCATAATAAAATAAATAAGGAATGTTGATATCTTCATACAGTGGGATCAAGTGCAGCAGTAAAAAAGAATAGACTACCAGAACACTCAAAAACACAGGTAAATCTAGAGCAAATATTTCATGAAGAAGTCAGCTACAAAAGATTACTTGCAATGTGGCTCCACTTATATCAAGCTCAAAAATAGGCAAGATTGGAGGGGGCAAAAGTAGTGGAAGTGCTTTCTGTACACCTGTGGATGATGGTTACGCAGGTATACACATATGTAGGTCAAAGTTCATCAATCTGTACACTTAAGATCTGTGTATTCGTTGAGTGTAAGAAATACCGCAATAAACAAGTAAATGAAAAGGGAAAAAATGATGTTTACAAGGAATTCTAATGGCATGGGGAAAAGATCTGGTATAATGCCAAGTCAGAATCAAAATATTGGGGCGCCTAGGTGGCTCAGTCGGTTAAGCATCTGCCTTCCACTCAGGTCATGATCTCAGGGTCCTGGGATAGAGCCCCGCATTGGGCTCCCTGCTTATCAGGGATCCTGCTTCTCCCTCTCCCTCTGCCCCTCCCCCTGGTTGTTCTCTCTCAAATAAATAAAATCTTAAAAAAAAAAAAAGAATCGGGGCACCTGGGTGGCTCAGTCGTTAAGCGTCTGACTTCGGCTCAGGTCATGATCCCAGAGTCCTGGGATCGAGCCCCGCATCGGGCTCCATGCTCTGTGGGAGGCCTGCTTCTCCCTGTCCTACTCCCCCTGCTTGTGTTCCCTCTCTCGCTGTGTCTCTCTCTGTCAAATAAATAAATAAAAATCTAAAAAAAAAAAAAAAATCAAAAATATTGTATAGAGAATAAACACAACATTACCTTAAATATTACAATGAACCACTGGAGGGAAATACATCGAGGGCTAACAGTGGGTCTCTCTGAGGGTGGGATTAAATGTTTTCTTTATGCTTTTCGCTGTCTTCAGAATGTTCTTCAATAAGTATTTATTACCTTTATAATTAGGAAAAAAAATCTTAAGAAGTTAAAATGCCTTTTTAAAATTAAAAATTTTTAAATTTTAAAATTAAAAGGAAAGAAAAGAAATAGCCTGGCAAAACAGCATTTATCTGAAATGCTTTAAATATTGCTGTAATTGCCTGATTTTGAAGCTTTAAACATAATCTTAAAATAGGTCCTATGTTCAATAACTTTGAATTGCTTCATTTGCTCTTATTCTTTTATATCATAGGCAAGAATCAAAGGAATAAATGGTTCTATAGTTAAGTAGTCACATGTATTCAAGACTGAAAGGATCTCATTTTGCATTTTTTGTTAGAGATATGCTCCTGTTTCATTTTGGTAATTAATATGCAAAGCTGAATTAAAGACGCCCCGTTGGCTTTTAAACATTTCGATGGAACTCCCATCTCTTAATGATACCTCGTGTCTCCTCACCTTTGAGGGGGTAGGTTCTGAGTACTCAGTCATTAGAGATGAAGTGGGCGATTGTGGTTGGAGAAAGCCAAGTCTAGGGGATGCAGGAGCCTGTCACGCCTTCTTGAACCCTGCCTGGGGCGATGCACTCAGTCTTGTCGGATTGTCTGGTTTCTTACCAAAATGTTCCCAGTAAATCAGAGCATGTAGCAGAGCCTGTCAGACCTGTGGTGGCCTTAAAATCCAACCCCATGCTGGTCACCTTGTTGCTCTCCTGCTAACTATCCCCCAAATGGTGACAAACTCAGGCCCACCAGCTGGAGGAAAGGACCCCTGTCGTTAAAACTACCGCAAGAAGACAGGAAGGACTGCTGTCTTCTAACAGTCACTGATTCACTTGACAAACAGTTACAGAGCCCATTTTCCAGGCTCAAGGTGCTGGGGATAGGTCAGATCATGGGCTGCACTGTGTCCCCCCAAAATTCACATGTTGAAGCCTTAACTCCCAGTTCCCCAGAATGTGACAGTGTTTAGAGTCAAAATTACTTTGAAGTGGTAATTGAGTTAAAAGAGGTCCTTAGGGTGGGCTCTATTCCAGTAGGACTGGTGTCCCTCTAAGAAAGGAAGATTTGGATACAGACACCAACAGAGGCACTTAGTGTGAAGACCTGGGAGAAGACAACCATCTCCAAACCAAGGAGAGGCCTGGAACAAACTCTTCCCTCGTGGCCCTTACAAGAAACCGACCCTGCTGACACGTTGATCTCAGACTGTCAGCCTCCTGAGCTGAGAAAATCAACTTCTGTTGCCTAAGCCTCCAGTCTGTGGTACTTTGTTATGCCAGCCCTAGGAAAATTAATACGGAAGGAGGAAGATACAAGGTCCCTACCCTCCTGGAATTTGCTTTAAAAAAAAAAAAGAGAGAGAGAAAACAAAAAACTTTTTATTATGGTTGTGTTCATCATACATTAAAGAGAATGGCATAGTGAAGCCCAAGGTGCACATGACCTAGCTTTCACAATTAGCAACCAATGGCCAATCTCTTTCTTCTATACTTCCCCATTCCCTCTGCATCTCCACTCATTATTTTAAAACAAATCCCAAAGATCATCTTATTTCATCTGTAAATTGTTCCAAATGTATATCTAAGAGAGAAAATCTCTTTTAAAAACAGAACAATTATACCATGATCATATATTTAAAGCTAATGATAAGATTAATCTCTAATATCCGGTGTTCAAATTTCTCTGATTCTTCATCAATAGTTTTTTTTTTTTACTTGATATGTTGGAATCATGATCCAAACAAATTCTACCTACACCAATTGGTTGCTAGATCTTTTAAGTCTTTTTTAATTTCTGAATATCCCCCCCCCCTTTTTTTTTTCTACTTACATGTGTTGTTGAAACCAAGTCATTTATCCTGTAGAACTTCCCAGATTCTGGTTTTGGCTGATTGCATCCCTGCGGCATCATCTACCATATTCTTCTATTCCTTCTTTCTTATAAACTGGTAGTTGGGTCTAGAGGCTTGGTAAGATTTAGCTTCCTTATTTGACAAGAACACTTCAAAGGAGGTACTGTGAGTTTCCTATTATATCACATCATGAAGCATGTAATGTTTGGTTATCTGGTTTTTTGATGATGTAAGATTGATCAGTGGCTTCAGGCATAT